GGATAAAATAATAATAATAACAAAATATGAACCGTGGTTTTGGCTCAGGGACCCGAGGACCAGTTTAGATCCTATCATATTCCCCCTCTTGCACTTGAGCCCCTGCGAAAGTTTCATATAGGTGAATTAATTCTTTATCTTCTTGGAGCTTTTGGGTCTTGGCTTCTTGGATTAGTAGGGCATAATCTCGATCATACATCCTTAATAAAATGTAAGGGGTGATATTCTGGGCTACAAGGAGATTTGGAAGGCCTCTGTAAGTATATAGCTCATAGACCCGTTGAGCCGTTTTCTGTATGTCCCTATACTTCTTTGGAAACACTTCTAATATCTTGGGTTTCCAATTTTCATTATTTGATCTCTCTCCCAATAGATAATAATATTGGGATGAGATACTAGGATTCGATTGGGGGTGGTCAAGACTTCTACAGAGGAATTCTATCTGATCAGCTGGGGTGATCCCTATTGCTTCTTCCATCTGTAGACCCATTACTTCGCGTCTTTGTAAATCTTCGAGGAACTTCGACATTCTTAAATGGACTTTTTGGGCCTCTGTAAGTCTTCGGGGATTGACAACGTCGAGATCATTAGACTGAGGGTTATCGTATGTAACTCGTCTTGAGGATATACCGAGAGTTCCAGGGATTCCTTTATCCCTTAATTGTCGTTGAAGGAGAGTTATTGTTTTTCGAATGTTATCGGGGGGGGTGAAGTTTTTTATTTTTGTTGGAAAAAAAAAAAAAAAAAAAAAGAAGGTATATACAGTTTTTATATAAAAAATTTTTTTTTTTTTTTTTTTTTTTTTTTTTTTTTTTTTTATTCTTGTATATATCGCTTCAATCGGTTCCCGTGTACAGGCTTTCGGTACACGTTATCATCCATGGTTCTCAACTTGTATGTGCTATTCCCATAAGCCTCATGGATGTAGTACGGTCCGGTCCATTTCTCCTCAAGCTTCGAGCTATGGGTAGCAGCTTCCTTAGATTTGAACATCAAGACTAAATCTCCTATTTCGTAACTTTCTATGGAATGCTTGGTGTCATGGTAGGCCTTTTGTTTATCTTGTGCTTTTTTAGTCTTTTCCTTTGCTTGTTGACGAGATTCGGCTAAGTCTCCTAATAATACTTCAACTCTTCTTAGTATAATATTTTGGAGGTCTTTCTCAATAACGGGTTCGGATGGATAGGTAGACAGGTCGGTTTCGATAGGCAATACCGCATCTCTCCCGTAGGTTAAAAGGAAAGGCTCGTATCGGGTCGTACTATTTCGGGTGGTCCGATAGGCGAATAAAGCGGCTGGGATATAATCATCCCACTCATTACCAAATTGGCTCAAACACTTTGCAAGGACTTCGCAAAGTGTGCGATTGAATCTCTCTACCAACCCATTAGTCTGAGGGTGGTAGGTAGTAGATAAACGATGTTTAATTCCCATCCGGCCACAAAGAGCATCTACGACCTTATTACAAAAATGGGAGCCTTGGTCGGAAAGTAACTCTTTTGGACTCCCATGCCGATATATAATATCGTCGAAAATAAAATCGGCTACCGATAGGGCATCGGCCTTCTGGAGACCACGGGCTTCTGGCCATCTGGTTAGGTATTCAGTGGCCACAACTATATATCGGTTACCTTTTTTAGTAATTGGTAAGGGACCTACTATATCTATTCCAACCCGATCAAAGGGTTGGCCTATCCGGATCGGATGTAGGGGTTCCCGGGTTTTGGGTCGTCCACGTCTCTGGCAAGAATCGCAAGATTTTACATAGGCTTTTATGTCTTCCCCCATCTGTGGCCAGAAATATCGGGTGGAGACTCGTTGGTAAGTAGAGGTAGCATTGAAATGGCCCGATAGAGGATCGGAATGCATACTGAATAGAATAGGCACCGTTTCGCCACATTTAAGAACTCTTTGAGGTCTTATAGGGTTTCGCGGGTTTTTCTTGTATAGTAATCCTTCACGAACTAAATAGTGTCGGGTTCGGTGTTTCAATTTTTTAATCATTGTCTCATCATAATTCGATGGCACTATTGCGTCACTAATGTATTGTAAGTATAAATAATAAATTTCCAAATCCATTTTCGATAATTTAATTTTTCCTTCCCCTTTTTTTTTTTTTTTTTTTTTTTTTTTTTTTTTTTTTTAAATACGCGAGATACTATCGGCGTTTCAGTGTACCTTCCCGGCCTTGTGGATGGTCGTGAACGAATACTCTTGTAAGGTTAGGATCCACCTTGCCAAGCGATTCCGGGGTAATTTATGCGAAAAGAGGGACTTTAAAGCGACGTGATCGGTGTATAAATTAAAAGGTGCCCCGTGGAGATATTGGCGGTAATAAGAGACGGCCCATACAACTGCCAAACACTCCTTCTCGGTTACGGAGTAATTTCTCTCTGCTGGTGAGAGACTTCGGCTGGCGTACGATATAACTTGCTCTCGTCCTTCCAGGTCTAGTTGGGAGAGAATAGCCTCTAAGGCTAAATCGGATGCGTCGGTAAACAACAGGAAGGTCTTAGTCTCGTCGGGGTAGGCTAATATTGGGGCGGTGGTAAGTTTATTTTTAAGTTCCTCAAATGCTTGTTGTTGGTCTTTTGTCCACTTATAATAATTATTTTTCTTTAATAATTTATTTAGCGGTGTAGCTATCTTGGTAAATCCGGGGATGAATCTTCTATAGTAGGAGGCCAATCCTAGAAATCCACGAAGTTGCCTCACGTTTCGAGGTACAGGAAATTCTTTTACTGCTTTTACTTTCTTGGGGTCTGTTGCAATTCCTGCAGCGCTTACTATATACCCCAAGAATTTTAATTCGCGTTTCCCAAAGAAACACTTCTGGGGTTTTAATTTTAATCCGGCTTTTCGCAATCGATCGAATACCTCTTGAAGGTGAAGAAGGTGATCTTGGAAATTCGTCGAGTAAATGTTGATGTCGTCTAAATATATCACGACGAATTTCCCTATTATATCTTGGAAGATTTGATCCATGAGACGTTGAAAAGTGGCGGGAGCATTAGCTAAACCGAAGGGCATTACGTTAAATTCGTAGATCCTATCGGGTGTAATAAATGCTGTTTTTTCTTTATCTTCCTCAGACATTTCAACCTGCCAGTAGCCACTGGCGAGGTCTAGTGATGTATACCAAGAAGATCCCTTCAAGGCGTCCAAGAGATCATCTATCCGGGGTAAGGGGTAATTGTCCTTTTTAGTTATTGCATTGACTTTTCTATAGTCAATGCAAATTCTAATCTTTCTTTCTCCCTGTTTTACTAGGACGACGGGTGAAGACCATGGGCTGAAGGATGTCCTAATTATTCCTTCTTTTTCCATCAGCTTTATTTCGTTTTTTAAGAACTTCTTCTCTAATAGGGAATGCCGATAGGGATGCTGCTTAATAGGTAAGGCGTCTCCAGTAATAATATGATGTTGGCATTTATTAGTTCTCCCTAATTCGGATATATCTCTTGCAAAGAGATTTGAGTTTTCTTTAAGAATCGGTAAAATTTTATCTTTCTGATCTTCCTGGAGACCCTCAACATTATAGGTTACTACAGGGTCGGCTTTCTCATCAAAGTAGAAATCGAAGAAGTCAATGATTTCATCGTATGGATTTACGGGTGGAATTTCTGAGGTTGATTGGTAATCCTCAGGCCAGCTATCAATAGGGGTGAGTAATTCTTCTATACTTCTTTCGTCTCTTCCTCCTTCGTTCTCATTACTAAATTCTTCTCGATTCCAATCGTAGTCTCTCTCTTCTTCGTAATCATCGTCGCTGTTTAAGTTCCACCAAGCTTCTCCTACTCCTAGATTGTTTGGATTAAGGTTCTTATAATATTCATCCTCCTCGGAAGAGTCGTCGGTATCTTCTAATTCTGAAAATCCATAAATCCGGTCCTCCAATTCTTCTTCTTCAAATTCTTCATCTCCTTCTGATTCTTCTTCTTCCTCTGTTTCTTCGTCTTCATTAACCTCTATCTCTTTTGGGTTTATCTTTGTAGGTCTTTCGGCTTCTAGAGGCTTCGGGGTTACTCTTCTAAATTCTACGAGTATCGTGACTTCTTTTCCTTCCCAAGTAAGAGTCATCTCGGAGGCGTTCCAGTCGATCAAGGCATTAACTTGGGAAAGCCAATCATTTCCCACTAGAGCATTATAGGAACTTGCATCTGTTACGACGACGTCTATGGGGATTTTCATTCCTCCTACGATAAAGAGAAAATCTGAAATTTCTCCAATGGCTCTTTTACTTTCGCCATGGACGTTTATCATATTTACTGTAGAAGGTCTATCAATTTTGACCCCTAATTCTTTTAGTAAATATGAGGATACAACACTCCCGGAGGATCCACTGTCAACAATTAGAGGAATGATTTTTCCTTGTACTTGGGCGTCGCAATAAAGGGCGGTGGATTTATTCATGGCTTGTAAATTTACATTAGCACGAATTTTCCTTTTAACCATTAATTTTTTCTTTTGTAGGGAACGGATTAAATCGGCCCTCATGGAAGGGGCGGCCTTAAACAACTGTCCGAAGGTAATATTGGACGGCTTATCTCGAATTTCGGCGACGATTGAATATGGAATAACTAGAGATGATATTTGGGGAGTATCATCCTCTAATTTCTTCTTTCTAATAGGGGTGACTCTTTTTATAACTTTCTTCCCTTCCGGTAGGTTATGCTGAATTAAGGTCGGTTGTAATCCTTCTGTAATTTCTTTGTTTTCTGGTTTTTCTCCTCCTATTAATATTGCGTTTTCTTCGTCTACTCTCCTCTTCTTAGCGCGGGTTTCGATTGGGTTTTGTTTTCTTATTTCTACTTCTGCAGGGGCAAAAATAGAAGTATCTTCTTCTCTAATTCCAAGGTAAGAAGGTTGTCCTTCTGTATTCTCGGTTTGACTACTTTGTTGAAGTAGATTCATTAGTGCTAATAATGTTTCTTGAGGATTGGCATCGGTTGGGGTAGTCACGGGTGGATTAATAGGAACGGGGGATTCGTTACGACGAGGGGTAGTGCAATTCCTACTGATGTGTCCTGGACGCCCACAATTATAGCATACTATAGGATTTGTATTTCTAGGTCCGGGCTGATATGGTCTTTGAGGACGTCTTTGATCCTGGGTTTGGATCATTCTATTTACAGCCTCGGTTAATTTGTTAATCGCGGCTTCAGTTCCATTCGAATTTATAGCTAGAGCTGGAACTGGCACATTCAGGTGCTGCGCCATCTGAAAGGGGTATCTGGGGGTTTGTCCTAGAAAAGCGGCGTAGGTCGGATTTTGCTTATAAGCGTTTTCAAACGCTTTTGCTCTTTCATAGGCGGCTTGTAAGGTGTTTGGGGTGAACGGGAAAACTGCCATAAATAACTCGGAACGGAGCCCGTTTATGAACATCTGGGCTTTCGCAGAGTCAGGATATTGGTGACCTCCGGCTTCAACTCGACGAATCATCTCTTCCACGGCCACGTGATATGCATCAACACTTTCTCCGGAGAATTGTTTTCTTTGCGTAAGCTGGGCAAACCACTTCCCTTCTAACTCAGGGTCCGGAACTTTGTAATAAAATTAGCCTTGAAGCTCTGAGGAAGGTTTGCAACATCATCCCAACGTTCGATCGGTGGATTCTGATTCCTCATTGTTATCCACCAGGTGGAAGCCGATCCTTTCAATTTAGGAACGATCACGGGGATTTTCCTTACGTTATTTATACGATTCGTCTCGAAGGCTTTCTCGACATCTTCAAGCCAAGAGATAGGGTCTTGTTCTCCTCCTAAGTATTCTGGGTACGATACCAAGTTGAGTTCCCTAGGGGCAACAGGTGCGTAAACTTGAGGAGGTTGTGCTAATTGCATTTGCTGAACCAAATTAGCTATTTGGTTCGCTAAATTATGCATCGGGTTAAGGTTTTGCGGGTTTTGGAGAGGTTGGATATTCTGTGGTGGGTTTGGAGGTGGTGGTTGAGCCATTTTATACTTATTATCCTTCTAAATATTCTTCTAAAAATTTCACTTCGGTTGGAGATAATTTAAGATTCCACACAACTGGCACCAAATGTTACTATTGTAAATAGGGAGAGCGGATAACGTTGTACGGTTTAGCTCCAATAGTTAACGTGGTACAGGCTTAATTATGCTAGATCGGGGGATCAATAATATAATTATGAAGAGTCAGGTATTATCCGGGATTAGTTAAGGAAGGGGGTCAGAATTATAGTGATTTAATTAAGGGTGGCGTTATTATTAAATGTTTAATAAAATAATAAATGATCCGATCGTTGATTA